AGCTTGCTGAATTCCCACCCTTCTGTCTAGAGAGGCCCGAATCTTAGTTGGACGCAGGTAATTTCCCTGAGCTAATATGTCAGTCCCTTTGGTTTCCTGGAAGGAGGCTTCTGTCTAGTGAGGAAGAGGACCCTCTCATAAAAAATGAAATGCAACCCAAATACTGACGAAGCGCTTCTAATGCAAGATCTTCTTAAAATCCACACAGAGAGACTCTGCTTCGTAGCTCTAGAAGACAGCAGGAAAGGGAAGGAATGTCGCATTTCATAAATAAATGTCCATAGCGATTAAAAAAGCCACGAACAGACCTGCATTCCGGAGAGGAACTGTGCCAGGCCCTCTCAGTTCAAAGAGAGGCCTGGGGTAGAATTCCGTGTGACCGTAGCAAAGGACCAAGAGAAACAACAGACTTCTTAAAGAAGTGTGTGTGTGGTGTGGTGTGGTGTGTATGTACATAGATGGGGAAGATTTCAAGAAGTTTGTGAAATAAGGGAATGTGGGGGCTTTACAAAGTTTATGGAAAAATTCCAATATACATATAATTATTGGAATTAAAGAGTCCACGATAGACAATTGTGTGTATATACACATATATACATTTGTGAAGAGCTTTACAGTACTACTTTTAATTTTTTTTAAGAGATCGTTTCTTTCAGATAGCATTCACACATCATGCACAGTTCAGGGTACCAAAAAGGGCGTCATTGCAATGCGTTCTAGGGCATTTCCTTCCTTCTTGGGCAGGTCTACTTTGAAATGAAATTGAGGAACAGAGGACCATCTTTTCTGATACCCTTTGGTTTCAGTCTGGGAATTCTTTCTCGTAACTTTTTAACTGACTGCTTTCCGATCCAAGTACCGGGAGCCTTCCCCTTTACCTGAGCCGGGGGAGATCAACAGCCTGAGTACCTTCTTCAGTTCAGTTCAGTACACTTGGAGTAGTTTGTTTGACTTTGTTGTTGTTGTTGCATTAATCACATCAAAACCATATGAGGTGTGGCTTTCTTAGAACGCCACGACCCCCCAGACTGGGCACAGATGATGGTGAGGACCCCAAAGGGCACCCAAATCCAACTGCATTTTTCAATTTCAAGAAATATATTCCCCAAAGCTTTTGCGGAAACTCTGACTATGGAGACTCCCGTGCACCTCAGACTAGAACGAGGTTGCCTGGGGTCTTGGATTGCTGCGATCTTTGGGGTTTCTTAGGGTTGTCTTTCAGAGTGCCTCTGGCTGGATTCGAACCACAAAACGGAATCCTTTGTGCCACCCAGAGGCTTCACAACACTTTGTGCACGCTGACATGAAAACGTTTCTATTTTTCGGGTACCGACACTGCGGATTCATTCCACAAAAGCGAATCTCCCTCTCTTTTCTCTTGGGGTTGGAAGGAGCCCCTGCCTTGCTTCCCACCAACGGAAACACACCAGTTTCACACTGAAAATGAGCAGCCTCACCTGGAGTCTCCACCCTGCGGTAGTGGTAAGGGTTGATGCACACCTCTTTCTGCTTAGAGCCAAATGGGAATTCACAGCACTCCAGGGGCTTCAACTCATGGTGGGACTGGAGATCGGGCCAGCGCCACACCCGGCAATAAATGACGTGGGGCAAACCCTTGCGGTGGGACACTTGCAGCCGCCCATCCAGGGACCGGGGAATGGTGACACACTTGCTGGGCTGCCCTGGACAGCTGAGGGCTCTCTCCAGCTCATCCATGGCTCCTTTCTTCTTCTTTAACTTCTTCACTAAAGAGTCGACCGCCTTCTCGGCCCACTTCTCCTCCTCATCTCCTTGCTTCCAGCCGAGCAGTCTCTTCACTGCGGGGCTGGTGAAGGAGAAGAGGGAGCTGATGGGGGTGCTGGAGTGCATGGAGAGGCGGGCGACAGGCACCCGGAGCCAAGAGAAGCATGAGACGCCACGCCACCCTCAGGGCCCACAGGGCCCAGGGGGCAGGACCAGCGAGCAACTCCCGAGGAATGTCATCAGGAATGTCATCGAGGGGCAGTGTCCTGTTCGTCTGGAAGCAACTGTGACTTCTTCGAGAAGGGAAGTAGGTCCACTCGCTCCCAAGCTCTTTAGCTGTAACTGTGGGGGGAAGAAAAGGACAAGACTTCCATGAGCTTTGTCAGGGTAATTACCAGAGAAGGTGCA